TACATCCTGACAGGCCATGCCCCCCCTGTGGCCCAGCCTACATCCTGACAGGCCACGCCCACCCCTGTGGCCCAGCCCACATCCTGACAGGCCACGCCTACCCCTGTGGCCCAGCCCACATCCTGACAGGCCATATTAGCTATACATGGATTAACTACAGCCCCAGTGGACGTGATTTGGCATTAGCTATATGTGGATTAACTGCAGCCACAGTGGATGTGATTTGGCATTAGCTGTATGTGGATTAACTGCAGCCACAGAGGGCATGACTTAGCATTATGTTTAGGTGTATCAGTTACAGCCACGGTGGATATAGTCCACCTTCAAGTGATATATGTTCAGCCAGATTTCACATCTTTGTCAGAATCACCATAGCAGAAACCCTTCATTAGCTCAGTGAAGAGATTATCATTTGGCACTAGCTAAATGAGTCGAGCGCACAGGCGACCGACCCTGCGGAAAGTGCGGAGGAAAGGTGAAAGCCAGGACAGCTCCTGCAGCTCATCTCAACGCCCCCCACCCCCACCCCCCAACCCAGCTCCAGGGCATGGAAGTAGTTAAGATCAAGAATGATTTATTTAACATATTCCCCCCAAAGCAGAGTATTCATGCTGCAGTATGTCTTTATTATTTTAATTATGCAAAGCTGTGATTAATATTAATGAGCAGGGGTGGGGAGATGCATAAATAAATGAGCTGCAGACAGCGAAAGCTCAGCGTCCCGTAGGTCCTCCTCTTACGCTGCCCTGACAGGTGCCAGCTGATGCAGTCTCAGTCCCGGGGTGTCGATCCCAGCACGGTGTCAACATGTCACCTTTTTATCGCCGACTTGAATTAGGGGAGCTAAGTAGCCACTCTGGCTAATGATCTGATTAGCAAGTGGCGTGCCCCCCCCCCCCAATCGCTGAGTCTCGCCGGAGCGCGAGGCCCGGTGATCCAGCACGTAATCCCAAATCAAGCGCCAATCTCGCGGGCACCGCTAATCTTGAGTGAAGTTTTAATCCGGCCACGCGTTGCAGGGAGCGTAAATCTAGCAAAAGTGTTGCTTAGCGTTTGAAATTATGTGAATATAAATATGGAGATTTTATGATTTTTCTGTTACAGGATATTACTTATTGCTCTACCCATGTGTGGTCAGATTCAAACATGTGACAATGTTCATTGCGGTGCTGGTTTGAATCCCATCCTTGCTTTGTGTGCATGCAGTCTGCATGCTCTCCCTGTGGTACTGTGGGCTTCTTCCTGGTATTCCAATTTTCTTCAATTGTCTAACAACGTGATCAAGCAAATTTCATTAATCTTCCAACGCCGTATGCTGACCTGGGTGACAATGGGGTCCTGAAAATTATGTCTGGCACGAGGCACGGAGCGCCAGTCCATCGAAGGCCACACAGTCACACACATGCACACCTCACTATCAGCATCGAAGGCCGCACAGTCACACACCTCACTATCAGCAATTTAGAGACGCCAATTTGCCTAAGCACACATTTCTGGGCTGCGGGAGGAAATCAAAGAATCAAGAGGAATCCTGCACTGCAGTGGGAGAAGATGCACAATCCACACTCAGGGAGTAGAGGTGAGATTGAAACCTTCAATCCAGGAAGTGTGAAGTAGCACTAGTGAACACGGAGCTGAGGTACAGCCTTGTCACGCAAACTGATGTCTCCAAATCGCCTGTGATGGAGTGTCATCCTGCCCAGGGTGTCCCCTGCCTTGTGCCCTGTGCTTCCTGCGATAGGCTTGGAGCTCGCTGCGTCCTCCTGTACCGAATAAAGGCTGTGAAAGATGGATGGAAGCATAGATGAAGGTGAGGCGCACGAATAACTGACCTGAATATTTTTAGGGTTATTGTGGCTGTTTGGTGCGTTCAGTAGTATTTATACAGTGCTGTGCAGACATGGTGTGGGGTTTCAGAGAAGCAGCAGATTCTGCTTTGATTATAGAGAAGTGAAGGAGAAGGTTTTCTGGTCTGCACCCCAAAAGCAGAGATCCTGAAGGCAGCCGTGGGTGAAGATGATGGTTACAGGTTCCATGGGGAACCTATAACACACATTACACCTTTACAAATTTAACCATGGAACCACCCCCCCCAGTCCACAAATTGCACTGTGGGGGACCCGCATTTTCTTCAGCTTGAAGATGGGAACCCTGGTTTGGGGGGGGGGAGGGCAAGGTGATATTTTGGCAGGGGGTCCAAAAGTTCAAGCTACGCCCACGTCCATAGAAACTTATTTTGCAGAAGAATGGAGGGGAGGAGATCGGTGAAGCGAGAACACAAGAAGGTGAGAAGGAGAAAAGAGAGGAACAGGAGAAGAGAGAAGAGGAGCGAGTGGAGTGTGTGACAGGGAGGGGCGCGGCAGCGGTGATGCCGGGAGGAAGTGAGCTTAAGAGTTGCGAGCAAAACGGACGGAAGCGTGACAACAGCTGCCATCAAACGGCTTCAGATCAAGCGTCTCGCTGTCTCAGGATCTCAGGATCAGGGACTTCCTGCGTTTTGGGGCCTTACAACCATCTAACCATTAGGCCTGCGAATAGCAGGCAGGAGTTTATTCTCTCAGCCCCCTGGCAGATACACCCCAGCAATGACACACTGTTCTGACCACACATTTGCACTGCAAAAAATGAAAATCTAAGCAAGTATAATTTTCTTATATTTAGACAAAATTGTAATTTCATTAATAAAACTAACAACACATCTTATGAATAAGATTTATTTGCTTGCATTTAGGCATATTGTCTTATTTTAGGAAATCTTTGCAAGTATAATTTTCTTACTGCACTAGGAGATAATTTTGCTAGTTTTAGGCCATCTCGTCTCAAAAGAGAAACGGAACAGAAACGCCATTTTTTGCAGTGCCAGGCTTTGGAATTTATGCAGCTTAAACCCCTCAGTCGGTCCCCTAAGTCTGATCATAGTAATCCTGAGCTAATTTGCTTGCCTCCTTATCAGATTCACCACAGGTTTCCGGAAGCTGCCATCACAACCCTGGAGAGCTGATCCTTTTGTCTCCTGGTTCTGGTTGTAAAACAGAAGCGTGACTGTAGTTTGACTGCACTTAATTCATGTCAGACATTTACCCGTCTTTGCCAAATACCCAGATTGCAGGTGGGCCTGAGATCACAGCTTCTCCTTCATCACACAAGGAAACACAAGCTAGCAATTTGTCCTTGAATGGTTATGGACGGTGATTTACCTTAGTACCTTTTCAACTAAGCGAGTGTAACTATCTTTTTTCAATCTATATCCTCGCAAAGTAATTTTAAGTCGACTAGGTAAGATTGTTATGAACATATATAAATATCTTTTCAGAATAATGATTCAATGGTTTGCTATTGTGTCAGTTAACATGCAAGTAACACATTTCTTAAGACTTTAATTAGATTGTTTTCAGCTTCAAACAAGGTGGAGTGAATATACATCTGAAAATCCACTCAGGAAACACTAAAATAAATTGATGAAAGCAATAAAGACTATTTATAAAAATCCATGAATAAAATCCATGAATAAATGAATGCATTAGGAGAATAGTTGTGTATTTTATGTCACGTATTTAAATCATATTTATGTGCCCAAACACCTACACTCTCGAAACATTAGTCATTAGCCTCAAACTTGTTCTGATTGGATGACGAGGTGCTGACTTGCTTTGGTAGCCCTCCAATCACACAGCAGAAAGAAAACACGCGGCAACAGTCTGCGAAGTGTGTTGTAATTAACACTCAAGTATTAATGACTGGGTTTTTCGCACTGCACCATAAGGAGAGAGGTGTTCACATCTTACATCTTTTCAGACCAAATAGCAAGGCAGTGATGTGCTGAAGATTCTTATGTTGTTCAGCCATATTTCACCGCCTCCCACCATAATGACATCACTGAGGTTAAAAGGCTCTTTTAAATCAGAGTAAAACTCTTGGAGTTTCTTCTTCGGCTCTGCAGCCTCTCTAACCTCGGCAACCTAATCCTTAATCCGCATTTCACACATCTTTGCATTTTCACACGTATTTCCCGCTCAGAGTTGTTGTGCCGTATGAATTGTTTCTTCTCAGCTCCTAAGTGGCTCTCACTCCGCCGTGGGCGATCCCCCATGATCCTCAGCTCTTCATGACTATAGTGAATATAACACCCTTGTGCCCCCTCCCCCCAGACTCCCCGATGGTGTCCTGGCCCCATTCCCGCTCACCTGGAGCTGGTGATGTCATTCTGCCGGTTGTTCCTCTTCTCCAGACCCAGTCTGGTGAAAATGCCCACCAGCACCATCACTGCCACCACGCCGCAGATGATGTAGACGATCATGTGGGTCTTGTCATGGTCGTGCCCATCCTGCGATATGGGTATGGTCACTGCGGGTTTGCCGGTATTGGCCCAGATGGGCGTGTCATAATTGGAGCAGGACGTCTGGTCCAACCGGTGTGGCTTGAACCGGCAGCAGAAGCGGTAGAAGCAGGTGCCACAGCAATATATGTAGATGCCGGCACTGCAGTTGAAGGGCGGGTCCCACTGACCCATGACATCATAATAGCCCCGGCATCTCATTCCAGAGGGCGGAACCGTGTCCTCCTCCGGCTCCGCTCCAGGTGTCGATAGGGTGATGTCCAGGGGCATCGAGGGCTCTGCCGTCTGATTGGCTGCCAGGGATTCCGCATCTGGCAGTTTGTCAGTCTGGGCCAATGAGAGGCCGCCTAGCGTCAGGGCAAGGAGCAGGAGCGATGGAAGGTCCTGTGCAGTCATGCCAACCCCAGTGACAGCGGAACACCAGCACCAGGTCACGGCTTTTCTCCAGCAATGGGCCAGAAAAAGAAATGTTTTTCCTCAAAAACAAACACCCAGCTGTATAAGAGACATCACAAAATGGACAATAACAAATGTGGGATTTGCACTCCAGAAATTAAATGCTTAATTAATCTAAGTCAATTATCCAGATGAGCTATAGAGCACTCACACTAACAACTCCATGTGGAACATCTGCGTAACAACGCTGTCAGTCTGCTGGCTCTCTGCTTGGGAGTGTAAACCCACTGCTGTCTGCCAGCGACGTTCCCTCATGGGTTGTCACCTTTTTCTTTAAGATATATCATTCCCAGGAGGTCCTCCCAAAACTTTAACAAGCACCCCCCCCCCTGGGCTTATAACAAATTTTGTTGTTTTTCTCCTTTTTTATTTATTTTTTCCCAAAACAGTTTAACACATGCTTGGGTTTTTTTTTAATCTCTCACTCTACTCTGACTGTTTGCCCTTTCATTCCCCTGGAAACCAGTTTGGTACCACAGAGAGTTTTCTTGTTGCTTTCCTGGCTGCGATATCGAAGCTGGCAGCACTTCTGAAAGGATAAAAATTCGTAATCTCATGAGGAGGGAAAATCCAGCGATGGTCTGTTATGTCAGCCCTTAATCTCGGCACCGGGGACTGACCGAGCCAAAACAGAAAGCAACAGTTCGATGTCCAGAATGCAACGTCCTGCTCAGGACATCATATTTTGGTTTGCAGAGATATTTAATGAGTTTTGGTGGAAAGAGAAATGCTGTCTATTTCAAAAGAGATGCAAGAAGAAAAAAAAATCCCTGTTAGTTGAACAGCGATCAGTTACAGAATTTAAATAACCACTTTAAAAATATTTAACCTAGAAAATCTTTTTCAGAAGATGTAGCTGACAAAAATATTTGAACGCAGCATGTTACGGAAATTAAAGCAAGCTTCTTTTCGGTGAATATTTTAGTTGTATAGCTTTAGGTGTTTCGCCTGCAGAATTTCTATTTATATGTGTGTGAGAATCTGTGTTGTTTTCTACGTGTTAGAAATTAATTTTCCCCTGTTTCTCTGGCTTCCTCCCCTCTCTCTCTCTTTCTCTCTCACTCTCTCAGCCCTCTCCCACCTTACCTCTCTGTCAGTCCTGGTTCACTCCCCTGCACACCGATTAAAAACAGTTATTCCGAAACGTGCCTGCAGCTCTGTGTCCACCACAGGCTCAGCTCCTCTTCCTGCACCAAAGAAAAAAGACCGAAAGGAGACCCAGGGTATTCCTGCTTTGACTTTAAGATGCATCCACAACCGTTCAACGACCAATGCGACTGATGTCTTATCGTGGTCTGTGTTGTTTCTAAGGTCCATTGGCGCCAAACGTCATCTTCCGCTGTAGGATCAAACACCAAAATAGTGGAATGAAGCAACTTGCTCAACAGTCTTGTAGGAGGACCTTGAGGTGTCTCTGCCAAGTTCGTTCCAAGCCACAGAGGGACCTGCTAATGTAACCCTACCTCAGATTGCTGTCAGCCAGTGCCCACCTGCTGTATGCAGCACACGTGAATGTAATATGCATTTCTGTTCTCGTCTCTCTCTTCCTAAGGTTTCTCTTCTGAAACCTCCTAAAAATGAGTGACTTTGTCTTTCTTTCCCTCATGTGGCTCCTCTCCTGCCTCCTGAAGCTGCATTACTGTAAACAGGCAAGACCAATCGCTAATGTTCCATACAGACTCTCTCTCGCTCTCTCCCTCCCTCTCTCTCTCTCTCTCTCTGTCTCCCTCTCTCTCTCTCTCTCCCTCTCTCCCATGAACGAATGAGCGCACCTCCGTCGCGGGCACATTCTTTTTCTGTCACCGATAACCCCCCCCCCCATATTCTACCCCACATTTCTTTAAATCTGTGCTCTGATTTCTGGCTTTTCTGTCTGTCCCTTGGTCCTCCACCACCTGCCCCCACCCACATCTATGACCTCTAGTCTGGCTCTATATTTTCCCATCCTTCTCCAGGTACCCGTCTTGCTTGCACTCTTTTTTTTCCCTCCTTTTCCCTCTCTTTTTTCCCCCTCTCCGCCTCGGAGCTCCTTTAGTGTGACAGATGACCTCCGAGCCGCTGACCACAGAGGGCGCTCTCGCATCTAAATGAGGTGCCCCTCTACTGGTCGCCTTGAAAATGGTCTTGCTTTGCAGGACTGAGTTCTGAGACTGGGGACTGCAGAGTGACGCTGGCGGAGACAGAGGGCAGTCTCACAGTAAGGGACTGCGTCTGCTGGAGCCAATACGGCCGTTACCTTAAATGGGACAGTGGCAGTGAGCGTGGGGGGGGGGGGGGGGTAGGACCACACAGGGGAGCGAGAGGAGGGGGACGGAGGAAGAGTGAGAGCTGTTTGTGGAAGAGGAAGGAGAAAGAGAGTGGTAGAAGAGAGGGGTTGGTGAAGGTGTTGGAGACAAGGAGATTGGTACAGGTGGAGGTGTAGGAGAAACATGGGGGTGATGGAGGGAAGGAGGCCGATGGAGGTGGAGGTGTAGGAGAAACATGGGGGTGATGGAGGGAAGGAGGCCGATGGAGGTGGAGGTGTAGGAGAAACATGGGGGTGATGGAGGGAAGGAGGCTGATGGAGGTGTTGGGGAAACGGAGTGATGGAGGGAAGGAGGCCGATGGAGGTGGAGGTGCTGGGGAAATGGAGTGATGGAGGGAAGGAGGCCAGAAGGGAGGTTTGTGTAGTGGAGCAAACACAGGCAGAGTACGATGGAGGGAATGGGGGAGATAGATGAAGATACCGTCAGTGAAAAGCCCTGTTTGAGCATTTACTGGTAAAGCAGGCGCTGCCGGGGCCCAGATTATGGGACGGCTGTGTCCTTCCGTCAGAAATCACTGTGACACTGTAGGGATGTGGCTAAATGTTTTATATAGACGCCCTTCGAATATTTGTGTCAGTTGGTTTTTTTATTCTTCCTAAGTTTCTCGCTCTCCAAAGGTTGCATCAGTTTCTCTCTCTCTCTCCCTCTCTCTCTCTCTTCACGCCCAGCTCCCACCATGGTGGCCCCGGCTGTCCGCTTCCCCTCCCTATTGCAGGCTTTCCGTAGAGAGACACCGGAGCCTCTGCCGCCGTGGTGAATCACGCAGAGATTCCCGTCTCAGGGTTATTCTGTAGTGTATCGAGATCCAAACCCCAGCACACGTGCAGCTCAGTGCCCTTGGGTATAATAACAGGTAATTATCCCACAGTATTCCAGTTTTGTCAATGACTCAGCTGAGGTGGATGGGTGGGGACAGGCTGGTGGTCCTGGGAGCCTAACCCAGTAAGCATGTGGTGTACGATGGGTTCCACTCTAGCTGTTCCCTATTCACGCCTATTGAAACGCTCAGGCACTTTAGAGCTGCTAATTAGCCTGATCTGCACATCTTTGGGTTGAAGTTCAGAGCACAGAGAAGAAGCGCCCAAGCAAAGACAGGAAGAACAGGCATCCTCCTGCACACAGGGAGTAAGCCCACAGCCCTGAATGTATGAAGGGATAGCGCCCCCACCTGGCCATCGCCATGCATGCTTTATGTTTGTTTTGCGTTTTATTCCAATCCAGTTTTCTCTGCAGCACATCATTCCCATCTCCATCCCTCCTGACTTCTCTTTCTTCCTCTCCCCCATGCACTCCATTCCTGGCTCGGAGGGCAGCACGATGATCAGCATCAAGGCTGGGTGGACAGACAGAATGTTCAGGAGGCAAAGGGGCACTTTCCCGTGACCCAGACAGGCTTTGCTGTTGTACCCTTGAGAAAAAAGAATAATAACAATGACAATATGATTGGAATGGAAGAAACAAATATTCAATTTTGTCAGTGACTTATTACTGTTTTGCTTAAATATTGCCCACCAAAGCACCCCAAATAAACAGTGCATGACCAGTGTGTCACTGGCAGCCAGCTGGGAGTGGGGACAGCCGGCCCCAGAATGCAAACGGTGCACACCCTGGGGGGGGGCCCTTCAGCGTAACCATGTGCCTGAAGTCAAACGCTGCCTGAAGGAATCCGCCTGCTGTTTCTCCACGCGCACGTCGCGTAGAGACGGCTCTCTGGCTCCCCCGCAGGTCATGGGGTCACGGCAGGTCAAACAGCCGGTCCCCTCTCATGCTTCCCGTTCATGTTTAGTAGGGTTTTCGGAAAAGCGTCAGATCTCTGTTTTTAATCATCCCTCCCACTCATGTCACAGCGCGCCAGCTGTTTAGAGATCTACCATAGTCCAAAAACTGCATGTATTTTAACAGCAGAGTACAAAGCATCCAGCACCATTGTATTAAAATCCCTCGAAGAAGCAATAGTTTAGTTACAAATTACTTTCGTCATCAACACATTACAGTTCTACTTCAGAGCCAAAATTCAATTAGACGGATTTAAAATGTCATTAAGTCCAATTATTGACACCACCCCCTGCTTTAAATAAAGTTTTATGAAAACATTCAATTGCAGAAATAAAATTTACAAAAAACATGTGGCTCAGTAGGTTGAGCACCAGCCTCAGATCTCCAGGTGTGTGTGTGTGTGTGTGTGTGTGTGTGTGTGTGACTCCCTCCCCTGGTTCTGTGTCTCTTGAATCCGCTTGTTCTCCCGGTTGCTGGCTGTGGCATCCGTTGCATCCTCTGTATTCCTCCTGGGGTATAACAGCACACAGCTGGGTGAATCGCCACAGTTTGCCATTGGCTGTACTCTCAGATGGATTAGCATCCTCTCCAGGGTGTGACCTGCCCGCCTCCTGCGAGAGGCTCCAGCTCCTCACTGCAACACTGACCAGGATAAGCAGTTTCAAGACGGATGGAAATCACTTAATTATATCTCGATTCCGAGTCTCCGACGTATAACTTCGTGCCAGAAATTAAACTGCAGCAATTAAACTGGCAGCATTTTCTCCTGAAAATATACAACGTGGCCCAGCGTGTGCGTGCCGCTCTAATTATCCATAAGAGGCAGTGACAGGAAAACGGCCAGCAGTGTGAGGCACATGGCAGCAGACGGCCAGTTACACCTTTCTCTCTAACTGCAGTTATGTCCTGAAGACTCTAACAACTTTCTCATTTGGGCCCGATTCACCGAACCCACCCATCAGGTTAGGGATTTTTCTTAGACCCTAATCAAGTCATCTGGGCAGGCACTGCAACACGTACTGGCTCTTCAGCTGGAATATTAACGCTCTTAGGAGCTAAAACTGTGAGCAAAGAGTTCTGTAAACGGGCCGGATCAACAACGGCGGTGCTTCAGCGTGGCAGCAACGTGCACTGGGCCTGAGATCGAGCTCCGTTTTCTTGGTCACGGGGTATTGCACATTTTCACAATATTATTCACAAAAAGCAGTTGAAGAGAAACTTCCAGAATATGGCAGCCTGAACTTGACAGTGGGTAAAAATTTAATCATATTTAACAATTATATTTAAAAGTCTGTGCTGATCCTATATGATTTTGATTTGCCTCCTGTGACAGTGGTATGACTCACACCCACCCTTCAAGAACTGTACAGTCCTCCTGTGAGAAAATGCTGATAAAAAATATTCAGTACAATGTACAAATATATGAAGATTATGGAAATTTCCTGTATGGATGCTGGAGTTTAGATTAATTCTCCACACCGATGACCAGCAGGTTATGTTTTGCGCTGCCCGCAATGTGGGGCAGCCCTGTTCATATTTCTGCCAGTGCGACCCCCCAAAATTGGCCCGTCCTCAGCTTCCCC